CAGGCATAAAGTGTTTCATAATRCACTCTTAAACATTAATAATACTATGCAAATGTTTGACAATCTACAAAAAACATGTTTGTTGAAYAAGTGAGTTGATTTTTGACAGCAACCAAGGTTGACATGGTTTTGATATTGACACAGGTGTATTGCAGTGTTACCAGCAAATCAAAGATATTTCTTCAAACAGGATCGATGTAACACGAAGAACGTAGCAAAAAGGGGAAAAACGTAGCTTTACAAGGCGAAAAACTTTGGTAAATTGTATCAAGGGCTGGTTAGAAAAGTCTTTTCAAATACTGTTTTAACAAGTGTTTAAACAATAAAATTAMTTTTTGGTGTCAATTTGAAGTGTCACAGTAATCAACAACGAAAACGAAATCTCAGTTTCGCTTTCAGGATTTTCTGTTTTGATGAAAGACGTAGTTTCTATAGGTGTCACGACTTATGAAGAAACTTGATAATGGCGTGTTGTTTGTCTTTACTGAAACAGTTTAATTAAAATGAGTCCCGTTCATGACTTTTGATGCTCTATCTGAGAAATAGACAAGTATGTTTGATTGACTGGAATTAAGCACAAGTTATAATAGAAAAGTTTTTCTGCTAAGGTTTGTTGCTGGTTATAGCAACTGATGAGTCGAAGCAAGACGGAGTCAGCTGAAGGATGGTTCAACAATATGATGTAACGGCTTGAATAAATGTTACTTTTCCTAGTTGACAAAAGGACATCAAGCACCTGTAATGACTTCTAATAAACTCATCGAGTTAAATATGATACCTTTATAATCAGTATTACAAATATTTTACTTCGCTAAATTCGAGAAATCTTGGGTTATTTAAACAAAAAAAGACTTTCATAATAGATTTATGACTACTGACGAATCAGTTTAATCGACTCTCGGACGATGATTTTTAATAATAAACTCAACACAAATAATAAAGAGTAGTTAACTGTTCAGATAAAGATGTTAYACTAATCTTAAACCAACAAACCCAATGTCTTCTAGTTCGAGTAGTTTAGGGTGTGACCGTACAGCACAGGCATTCCTTAACACCTTCCCARTGTTACGACATGCATAAGTATGGTGTTAAATGGTTAAAAAGCATAATTTTTTGCTGTTTTAATCCACAATGTGAACATTCGAAAGCAAAACGCTAGTATCTAGTGTGCGGTTACGAATCTCAGACAGTAACGAAGAGTCAAAACTACTTTGGTTTCCGTTGCACACGGACTTGCGATACATAACTATCACTTATTACTTACCGTTCAGTAAAGAAAGATTTCTGCAGTTAAACGATGGGACTTTTCTCTGTGATGCACGGCAGTTTCGAAGGCTGTGGTGTCTGTAGAGTGAGTTAGTAGCTATTGGCCAGTGTGCTGACATATAAGGGCTAACAGCGTTCACGCTATTGGTGCGTATTGGCCGAATTATTTATCGTAAACTATACGGATTTATTCTTACACCAAAACACCACAAACTGTTGTTTTAAGGTCTTAAGGATCATACATTGTTCCAAGACTTAAAATCTTAATGAAAGAGGTGAATTATAGACACTAATCCATCTACACGTGACTAATGAGTATTTCACATTCGTTAAGCGTTTTTAATGCATTCCTATAGAATAAAGAATTCATTATAGGATCCCAGGTGCACTAACAGTAGAAAAACCAAGACTAACAATAACATAGCGGTAAAGGTACTACCATATTAAAGGCTTATATGATTAGGTTCAGTCGGGAGCGAGTTGTAATATGACTCTTTGGTTGTTTACCGGAGACAGTTCTCATATTTTCCGCGTTGCCAGAGACAAATAAGGTACAATCCACTAAAATACCAGCTAAATAAACAAAATGGACGACATCAGAATACCTATAGTCTCCTTACGACAAATTACAGACAAATATGCTGTTTGGTGTCCGCTATACTGGGTGTCCTTCATGACAGGTGTCCGCTATACTGGGTGTCCGTCATGTCACGTGTCCGCTATACTGGGTGTCCGTTTATGTCAGGTGTCCGCTATACTGGGTGTCCGTCATGACAGGTGTCCGCTATACTGGGTGTCCGTTTATGTCAGGTGTCCGCTATACTGGGTGTCCGTCATGACAGGTGTCCGCTATACTGGGTGTCCGTCATAACAGGTGTCCGCTATATCGGGTGGAGTTACTTGACTCATCTAACCAGTGTTCAAGACACTCGGTTTATATTTCCTGTCAGTAATAACATTGTGGTCGTTATAGCGAAAGCTTACCTTATACTGTACAAATACATCATTAGAAATCTAATGTACAATAAATACATATACAATACAATGAATAATAGTGAAAAGTGATTGATTAAATGATAATTAGGATAATTGAAAACACAGAAATTTTGCTTACCGTGGAAACGAAAGAAAARCCATAAGGTCGACATAAAGTAAGAGAAAGCGACATTTCAAACCTGTTTGTGCGTTTTATTTTCAAACTTATCAAAAAATCTTAACAAGAAAAAATTATTACAGTAAACTGTTAGCAAAAAGAAACTATGAAAGTACTATGAAGTTCGGGTTTTACTTGGGCGCGTAGAGATAAGAGTTTTTTTCTGGAGTGCTCGATTGACATATCACGAGTGTACGCACCGAATCACGAGAAGTTATTTTTTATCTYCAAGCGACCATGTAATGTTATAATCATTATATACATTGAATTTGCTGTAAAATATGTTATTAAGCCAACAAAGATGTAAAAGATACGATATCTTCCACTTGTGTAGATTTTCATATTTTCCGCGCGTGAGATCTGTACTCTAATATATACACAGAACATATATAATAAGAACAGTACTTTTTTTGTTCTCATCACTTCTATCTATGTAACGTTTTGAGAGCAGACACACAGAAAAATGGAATCTACTTGATTTTTGTTTCATGGGCTTATGAAGACGCCGCTATTGCATTGGTAAGTAYCCAGTGTTTGTTTCACGGTATATAGAAATCACTTTTCTTTGCAATTTCAATTGAAAGCCCCTAATTTGCATTTGCTCATTATCAGTGATTTAGTACTAAACAGTGCTATCTGACAAGATAAAAATATTCTGTTCAAGTTGAAGCTGCTATACAAGTATTGTAAATGATTTGAATATTTTTTGTAAAAAAATGTGTACACTGCACTAAAGAAATACAACAATATTTTCACATTTAAACCTGAAAAGYGAGGAAGAATACCACATGTAGCAATCATACTACATGATCATTCTCATTTCAAAACTCAACCTGCAATACAAAATATGTCAAACTAGTGGAATTTTGTTTCTTCAAATATACTTGAGTTAATATTATCTACTAGCTATCATTTGATGAATTTTCCTCTGTAGACTGTTGATTATTAGTTCTTTCTCGTAAGACTTTATTCCTTTCTTTATACATATTCACAACATTTGCAACATCATCTTCATCTGACATATTCTCTGTGGACTGGTCTACCTTAACAAGTAAGGACTTAAGATATGCATCATCTGCCCCATTGAAGTCCAAGTCTGGATATCTTGACTTTAAACTAAGCTTTACCTGAGGAAAACATAGTATCATTACAGCTAGAAAACGTTTGCCTCCTATATAATCATACATAGAGGATGTTAATTGCTTTGAGTACTGAAAAGTTTTATTTTCATATAGCAAATGGCTATATTTCTAGCTTTTGAAAAGTTTTTTCAATAGTGAGAATTATATGTATTTCATAGAAAATTAAATAAAAAATAGACATAATATTATAAGAATCATAAAGTAGCTATGATGGTTAACTTAGTTGTARCCAGGAGTTGTATAAATCAAACTGACAGCTTCTAAACTCTGAACAATAGTCATCAAAAAGAAATGACTAAAAAAAACACCAACAAAGAAGGATAAACAAAATATACTTACATCCTGGACATGTTTGTTGAAGAAATCTTGTAGTTGACGTTTAAAGCCGTAATTWGGATTAGCAACCGCTCTATTGACTCTTATCGCACGRAGTGTGTCTTGCCAATTRAGAGTAGTAATAGTCATTAGATATGCTGCCACTATGGTTGTCGACCGGGACACRCCGGCAATACTGTAAGTAAAGTTTACAAMATGAGCTGCAAATGATGCGTTGCAGATTTAAAACTCCATCAGCCATGTTGCAAATCAACAATGATATCTAAAAACATCCATCCATAACTGCTTGGCCATGTCAAGGACTTTCTTTATGGAGTGAGATTACCAGCAAGGTGTTGCATACCAGCCATATTGTCATGAAGGAGACACGTTAAAACACAGAAAAGTAATAGAGGGTCAGTGTACCCTTTTTAGCCCATSTGGTGGGCCTGGCTTTGTTACTCATTGCTAATACATTTTGTAAGTTAGAAAAGCTTTCTTACCAGTGCACAAGACAGCATCCATTGTTGACCCTGAAAACAACAACCTTCATATAATACAACTACAGTATTTTAACAGGGTTATGTGAAATGAAGTGTATCTTCATTACATAATACATAATGGTAGCTTTAGCGAATTTCAAAAAACAGATGAAACAATTATAACAGAACAAGAAWTTGACAACACATTGGTGTTGGTCAAACCAAAATGAATTCTCAAAGAGGAAGCTACTGGYAAGGTTAACATACAATACCAGACAATGGAGATTTGTAGCTGTGATTTTTGACTCACCTGCATTCATGAATAAAATCAATGCACTGTTCAAAGAATGGTAGCCTGGAAATAAAACCACAATGTTTCATTTAAAAATTATAGCAAAACAAACCAAAGATATACAATAAAAATATGGATCATAAATATTTACAATAAGAAAATCAAAAAATATTTATTATATTTATATTTATTTTGATTTTCTTATTGTAAATATTTATGATCCTTATTTTTATTGTATATAATTTGTACAGCATAGAGCAGATTTCATATGAGTGGGAAACGGACTGTACTGTACGGTGACCGTAATCGTACTGTAACCAAATTCTACTGCCCCATCGGTTCACCAAAATTGTGCAGGCCAGGTGCGGTAACTGTGCGGTAACCGTGCGGTAACTGTGCGGTAACTGTGCGGTAACAGTGTCCCACTCATACGAAATCCGCTCTATTATGTCACAAACCAAAAGATGTTATTAAAGAAATTATTTGACAAAAGTGATGTCTTACAGTTCCTGATCTGGTGAATCTGCTGCTTGTACACACTTGTACTTTAAGTGCTACAAAACAAAATTAATATTTCTCAATTATAATGAATTAGCCTGGAGGCATCACAGGCTTTCTGTCTGTTTTGGGAGTCAAAAGAGGGAGAAGGGCGGTGAGAGATGGGAGGCACTTGATGCCTGCCAAATTTTGAGATGCTAACAGACTTCTGTGCAGGTAACTTCACCAATACAAATCCATTATGYGTTGGGGTCTGTAAGGGATATTGACAACCAAAATAAATTTTGYGGAAACCTACATGGTTAGTACTGAGTATTTTAGATACGATGGGAATATATTGAGGCCATTCAGTAGTTATTAGAAGCTTGTTACAAAGGAAGCCCAAAGGAGGAAAAAAAGAGTTGCCAGGAAAGGAGGCTATAATATTGATCAATATATCTGTTAACATTTAAATAGTATAAGCCAACTTACATCAAGTAATGGCATTGCATTATCRTGAATTGAAACAACATGTGTAATGTTATTTTCTGCAAGCTTTTCAACATCCTTGGCATCTATAAAGAAAAGAAGAGAAGAATCCAGACATTTACTGAGTGATTGTTTGGGTAATTTTCAGAAGCATATTTAACAGAAATCAATTGCAAATACATAATCTATCAGCAGTTTAAATGTGYCACAATTATTCAGATATAAATGGGATGGCATACTGGATAGTACAATAGTGTACATTACAATACACATCACTTCCTGTCTCATGGAGAAATTTGATGATGGATCAGTATTGATATGAACTGCTTATTGCACATGGTGGTCATGAGATTCAATCAGTGTATGAAACCCAGTAACAGCACAGTATAAGATTAAACTTAAACTAAGATATTTGCTTTGATTACCTCTGAAGTTCCCAAGAAATAGCCCTGGAATGATCTGATGAACATAAACATTATAAAATATGCATCATTGATACACACATTCCACTATACTTCTATAACCTTTTAATCTTTCAGTGACGTTCAATCATAGCAGAATAAATAATGCATTTTAATTGTATCTATAAGATGATATATTAAAYATACTGGAATGAGTCACTGAAAACTACAGGAAACCATAGAAAAAACGAACGATTTCGAATGGACACAATATCGATCATRGATGCTTGGTGCAGTACAAAGCTGACTGATTTTGACTTCCAGAAAAATTCAACAATTAAACAATGCACAAGATATTACCTTATCCATCCCATTGCCCATGACGGTAAAAAWGTATAAATTCTAKAACATRTAGTGCAACAGATCACAACATATTCCGTTAACCATAATAGCTGGTCCAGTCCATCCAGACTCTGKCTATCATAAACGAGAAAGACTGGTGACTGGACCACAGGTAAACCAAAAACATTCCTCAGTTATTTGTCGCATACAAATGCCTTAAAAATTYAAAACTGCATAAAAAAWTGATTAAAAGAAWAATGACTCCTGATTGGTTCTTTAGCTCCCCTGGGATTTGATTCCAATGTTAWYATAACAATAGCAACTCATCAAGACCTTGATTGACTGAAATAGCATCAACCTGGAATCTGATTGGTCGTCGAGATCCCTGGGGTATTGACGTCACTATTATCATAACAATAGAACTTCACCGAATAGACTACCCCCATGTTTGACATTAGATATTTAACAGCGACTTCATAGTACGATGGTCTAAGAGGGTAGCTACAGGTATGCTCTAGTGGGCGGCTACCCCCTCACTCCCTGGCCTTTTGGTTAAGACTAAGTTTTATGTGCACTCGGGATAGCGTGGAAGAGCCGAAATCTCTAACCGTAACGTAAGCCGATTCGACGCCTCAGCTTCATAGAATGTCTCGGGGGAATCGTCCCATCTTTTTCGTTTATTTTTTCGTTTTATTTATTTTTATCTTTCATGTCCGGGGGGTGCTTGCGTCTTCAGTCTTACTTGTCGCGGTTCGAGTCTCAAAGCCGTGTTTTTTTGTTTTTTGTTTATTTCTTTTTTCACGTCGATTTGTTTTCTGTCTTTCTTTTATTAGCTAGTCCATTTCAAATAAATATTTTTTACATAAATTTAATCATTTTTATTTTAATATTATTGATTTTTTAAAAAAAAATATTAAAACAAAAGCAAATATTTCRGAAAGCAGTAACAAGTCTAGCAATGCGGACGCTGACTATACGTGAGGTCAAGCATTTAATTAATCCATTTACAAAATATTTATATCAAAATCTTAAGAGAAAAGTGAATTAATAAATAAAAAATGGTCTCATATTGGCCGATTTCTTGTGTATAGTTAACAGTGGTTTTATAAGTGAATTCCACCATGTCACAACTTTGTAAAAGTAATTTTTTATACGCACACACAATTTAGTCAAATTCAGATGTAAAACATAYTACAGAAAAGTCAACTGAGTTGTAAAACGATATTCATTATGATTTTTTGCTGTTTTCCGAATATATTTTCCAACAAAATAAAAATATATCGTGTCAGTTTAAACGACATAGCTCTCAGCATCATCATCGTCGTATTCTAATTCAGCAGTCTGTGTTATTGATATTACTCGGTCCATGTTTTCTCCAGTCTCTGCATCTTCAACGTCGTCTTCTACAGCGTCGATTTTCTTTGGTCGTCTTGTAGGCAGCATTGGACGTACAGAATCCCAGATTAACGTAGCATGCTTACGAACCTAAAAACAATATCAATGTCATCTTARCGATAATGACGCTGAGAAATGATTGAACACGCTTAAAACAGCTACAATAACAACTAAAAAGCTATATGGAGGGGGAAGCCTTCACAAAAGATATATTATGAAGTATAGAAGGCCACACCCAATGTCAAGGTCCCTGTACAACCGCAACGATGATACCTGGGTGGCAAATGATGTGTAAAGCCGTACCTATACTGATGGTGACAACAAAATGTGCGCAAAAACAACAATATACAAACGATGCTATTCACGGATAATTCCTATTACCTTAGGGATATCTTCTCGATGTCTCCAGTCATGGAAAGCAAGCTTACGTCGAGCGTTTAGCGCTGTTAGTAGAGTCTGCTTAGAACCATGTTTCTTTTCAATTTGTACATCATTATTGGCTGCCCAAAGCCATTCCAACACCAATACAATCAAACTGCAGCCAATACCAGCAGCTACCACGATAAATACTCCTGCAAGGCTCTCAAAGCCCATCTCACTCGTAACAGATTGCAGGGTCGCACGTTTGTCTTCACTACAACGGTCGTTAGAATGAATCCATTTCTTCTCGAGTATGTCTAGYACTCCGCTGTGCTTCAGTTCAAGAATTACTGAACTTAGCTGTTTCGTGAAAGGGGAATCTTTTGCAAGTCCAAAACCATAACCAATCTTACCTAAAAGACTTCCTACTGTCATCAACTTACCGCAGTCTGATTGTTGATGGACAACATGCTCCAGTACTGCAGAGTCCCATATAAACGCATAGTTGCCTTSGGTAGCTTTTTTGATGCCTTCATCACTGCTCGTTACAAGAGTTCGATGTGCTTTCATGTATTGCCACATAGTGATAAAACTAGGAATAGCTGAAGACTCRAAGAAACTCTGTGGCTGACTGTCCTCAACGGTTCCATATGATATAARACTTTGCTGTCCAAGTTCACTTACAGTGCTGATTGGTGAGGCGGATCGCTGGATTGTACGGAACGCAGCCAAGTTAGCAGTGTATGTGGAGACAATGATYAGCACAGCAAACCACCAAACAGCAACAGTGATCCTTCCTGATGAACACACAGGATGAAGATGATCGGARCTTTGTCCAACGTAATACACCACAGATGACCAGAAGGCACGTACTAGAGTTAAAGTGTCCCTGTATTTGAAGTATCGGGMTGGTACTCTAGTTAGACATGTCTGCACACATCGACCATARTAACCATACGGGCTGAATGTACTAAAGAACCATAGAAAGAATCCAACGATGATCATTGTWAAACCAATAGCAAGCCACAAGTCATAACGAAATGGACGAAAGAACATGAAATAATCGGACTTGTCTGTGACAGACTTGACGAGGGCAGTTAGTCCAAGGTCGATGAAAGGTTGAGTGAAATCAATGACACGTTGTCTGGAAGGACTGATCGTAAACGATGCGACTGCAATGTCAGCTTTACCTTGTAAAATATCACGGACCATACCATTCCATTCCTTAGTGATCAAGTCCTGAGAACCAAAGTGGAAGTCAGCGACTGGATAAATCTCGTAAGTAAACTTTAATTTCTCTGCGATAGTTTTCAATAGCTCCATGCAAAAGCCTCCATAAACATACTTAGTCCTCCCACCTTCGTCAGTTTTGAAGACGTAAACAAATGGCGGTTCGTGAATTGTCACTACACGAAGTGTACGGTTCTCAATCAGGAACGCACTGTCTGATGGGATATCTACTCTTCCTGAKGGCCAAACTATCTCCTTGTTGAAATCCATGACWAGACGAGTTGATGGATTCCAATRCCCGACCCTCTCAAAACCGAACGATCGTAAATTCACAATATCAAACAGGTCTTCAACAGGAGAACCGTTGTCATCAAACCTTAAACGATCGGTCATTACACCAGATGAGTTCACATTCTTTAAATGTTTTACAAGAAACTCTCCCTCGGCTCTGTGACACGTGTGTGTGTTGTCATAGATACCAAAAGCTGGTGAAACATCACTCAAGTTGTGTCCTTGATTAAAGAAGTCCTGTAGTGCATGCGCAGTGACAAGCACAGCATCGAACGTGTGACCAACAGCAGCCTCGTTCTCAAAGTCAATCGAAGAATAGCCAGCGTTGTTCCAGAGTGTTTTAAATGTATTCGCCATTTGACCGCTACCGAAGGTATGTCTCACACCKACCACGCCCTTAAGATAGTCAGGAACGTTCACACCCGGTGTATATAAACCTTTATGAGCAAAGGCACCATTGGTTAAGATCCATACTCGATCTTTAAGTACACCAAGGTCACGTGCTTGTTGTAGTATTGGATGGACRTACTGGGCCATGCAGTTTAATATAATGATTCTCGCCCCACGCCCTCTCACGTGTACAAGCTGGTTAGTTGCATTGATTTTAGATATATTGGCGTGTTCTTGGAAAGTTTCCGAAGCAACWATCTGCCATCCTTTGTGAGAAGCAATGTCCTTGAATGTTACAAGACCGTTTAGACCATAGTCACTCCTGCTTGATAATAAAGCAACGCGCGTCCAGTTGAAGTGACTAATRAAGTCAGCTAAAACTTGATTCTCGATTGAATCACTACTGCTCATGCGTACTAAGAAGGTATATCGATGAGGAGARAATACAAACGAYGGGTCAGTAGCGTATGGAGATATCTGTGGAATACCAAARCCTTCGCAGATAGSATAGGTAGGCTTGACCATTGATGATACCATTGGTCCAATGATWATAGAAACACCGTTGTAAATTTGCCAGTAAACAGTTTTCATGTTGCTAAATGAATCTAAGTTCGATGTATCGTTAACAACAGCAACCAAACGAGTTTTTGRCAAAATTGAAGTRTCGTTGTTTATGTAATCAATGCCAAGAAGAAACGCTTTCTCTTCTTTTGTGTCCATGCCCTTACAAAATACTCCACCAATCTTGACCTCGCTGGGAAAACAAAAAACACGACTTATTTGAACAACAACCAATAAAAGCGATAAACAAAGATTGGTATTCATCTTTGCACGCTAAAAATATTGAAGAGCAATAAAGAGAAATCTGACGATAAATCCAACCGTCCGAGGCGCGCTCATGAAAAAACACGCTATGGAAAGAATAATGAGGCACGCGCTAAATCTAACCGTCGAGTCTGTTGCCGCGCGCGCTATCTATGTTAAGCCGAGCGCGCTGGTGCACAGTCAACCCAACATAAGCATTTGACTAGCTGATTTTACTCTATTTAAAGTAAATAATTGAATGGTGAAATATTGCTGAATTTCAGTGTYGCGTCTTTGAGTTTTGAAGGTTCAATCTTACAATATGATAATGAAAATGACGCGTCAAAGAAGGCTTCATATTAGATATTAAAACTTTGAAGGAGTCGCGATCGCTTAAAAATGGTTTCATGACATTAAATTTATCGTAGGCAATGTAAATTTCAGCGCACGCGAGCGTCAATCCTTGTGTCTGTTCTTTTTTTCATATAAAAACGTTCATTATATTAGAAATGTTATTTTTTATGCTTAACGTCCTCCTTAGATCCTGCACATCGTATGGTGATTTAGACAAAAAATAAAATGCAGCTTGTGATATTAGAAAATGCTAAAAAATAAAAAGCAACAAATCACACAAAATATTAAGGCAGTATCACTTTGAAAATCAATCTTTGATTGTCCCTTTTACGAAATATGGGAATTCTTGGCAGTTGTCCTACCTGATTTCTCCACAAAATCATAATTCCTTCTGTTCAATCAAAACAACATCCGACAGCAGCTGCAAAGTGAAATAAAGGTTTTAGTCGAACTGTGACAGATTGTCAAGTGCTTGTTTTGTGTCGTGCAAACTATGATTTCTGATAATAGAAATAGCCGCTTGCTACTAACTGTTACATGGCAACTGTTGCTATGTACTGGTATATGCACTAACTGTGAACGACACGCGCACGAAAATGTTATATCTCAATTAATCAGTATAATATATACTAGATTAACTCTATTTTCCCCTTCTTATAACACAATTTCCTGGGAACAGTTGTCTACATGTTAAATTGAATTATATAATTTATATCAAGTCAGAAACTAAAACGTTAATGAAACTAGCGATGAGCTCGTACGATGATCACTTCATACGCAAATCTTTTAAGTCCAAGTATCTGATATTCAATTCATCGATATGCTTGAGTCTGTAATTATGGTCTTTTCCTATTCCGAGATCTTCCAAAATAGAAAGAAACAATTACAGTAAAAGAGGAGAGATTAGCATGTCAGCYTTAAGAACATGACTCTTATTTTATTCACTCAACGAGTAGACTTCTTGAACCTTTCTTTATCCTATTAAATTGAAAAGAGCTATTTTAGAATTGGTAGGCCAGAGTACTAAATCTCAATCAATACGGTAACACGAACCAATATGGTTTAAAGCACGATTGAACCGAGTTATTTATCAGCCAGCGTTTAAGGTGTGACGTCATGAGTCAGCTGAACTACCCCCAAGACAGGTGAATATTGAAATTATCACAGTATAAACTGACGAAGATCATCCAATAGAATCTTAAAGTTAATACTGATTTACTATAGCTTGCCTGCACTCTAGCCAACAACATGTCAGCCAGCTCGAAATCTTCCACACAGTCAGTGTTTGAATCAAGAAACCATCATGACCAGGCGTTTGAAGTGTTTTATGATATGAGAGCAAACTCCGAGCTGTGTGATATCACCCTTAAAATAGGCAATTTAAAGTTCACTGCACACAAAGTCGTCCTAGCTGCATCATCATCGTTTTTTCGCCAAAAGTTCTCGTCACAAGATGAGGTTGGTTCGTATGAAATGAGTCTGCCTGACTTTCTAAAACCTGATGCAATGGCAGCAATGTTGGACTATTTGTACACTGGTTATTTAAGAATCAATACRGAAAACATGGAGGATCTTCTGGCTGTCGCTTGCTTTATCAAAGTAAGTTTATTTCCATGTGAAATGAGAACAGGAAAATGAAGCCATTCTATTCAATCAGACATTACAGCTTACAAAACAAACAAAGAAGACTCTTCTTTGTTTGTTAAAAGGGGAAGTTTGGAGGACGGGCTATACTGACAAATCTCAATCACGTTTTGATTTCACAWTGTGATTCATKCTTTTAAGGAATGAAAASGGATTCCCGAAGTGAGCGGCRTCAACAGACGAAGGGTGCTGTGTTTTTGTCATTTTGATCAGCGCTTTTACGTCTGGATGTCTTTTTTGTAGTTTAACGTGCGTGCGAGGAAATAGCCACTTCTTTATCATAATATCGCCGCAATATAAATACAAAAGTTTAAAATTAATAAATAACAAATCTTTTTCTGATGTTTCCTTACATACAAGAAACAACAACAAGCATACAATGGGAATCAGAAATTATTTTTTTGTAAATATAGTAGAACTTGGTTCTATCATCATGACAACTCAGTACCGTGTGATCAATGATTCCATCGTCATGATTTCATAAGTACAAAGTCATTAGTAGTCATGAATGATTCCACTGTATTCACACAGAGAGCGATGCACTTTTTGACTGACGATCATTCGTAAAACTATAGTCAAACCCTACTAGACTCTGAAAGAAGGCACATTGATTTTTCTAAAGCCGTCATGCGGTTTTGTTGCTCATGCGCTCAGCATGTCAGGTAGAACATATTACAAATACTGCTAGCCAAGTCAGTTTAAGCAAAGAGTCAAATCAGTGTATATATTTTTCCGAATTTATTTCCAAGGGTCTTTCTCCCGGAATAACCTCCTTCCCAGCACTATAACTTTCGGCTTTATATCTMTATCATATATTTCCGCACATGATTTTCATGCGTCCTGATAAACAAGGTTGTTTTTAAAGAATCCTATCGGCCATGCTAAACATCAKTCAGTATTGACTACTCAGAGATGACCATTCATGAATCAATCAATAGCATGTTTTTGGGGTATAATTCAGGGATATGATCGAAAGTAGCCTTTGTGTGACTCCCATACCATTAATTGGCTGACTGTCACGAGATAWACTACTTTATAATTACTAGAGAGCATACGTTGCTGTCGGTCTGCGGTTTCTCGGCTCTAACTAATGAAAGTGTCTCAAACAAGCGCGCACTTAGATTGGACAAGACGACAAGCAATAAGTTACAAAAATCCTAGACTATGAAAATGCAAGGTTTTTTGTTTTGAATAATGCGTGCAGTCACGATTCCTCTATTTTTATTACTAGGCACATCATAAACTCAGTATACCCATTCATCATCCTTTCAGAACGAACAAGTTCTTCATGCTATATTGGAAAAGGTTCTTGCAAATGTTAGTATATCAAACTGTCTTCGTCTACAACAAATTGCTTCAACAAATAACTTGACTGACATGCAAGATAAAGTTGAAAGGTTCATTGAATGGAACTTTGAACATGTCGCAAAGGAACCGTCGTTCCTGTCGCTCGAYGCCAAGGTTGTCAAGGATATTATTAAGAGAGATAATCTTAAAGTTACGAACGAAGAGGTCGTCTACGATGCCGTGTATTCGTGGTTTATGTACGAGCGACTGCAAAGGTTAGTGTTTATGATCATATTCTTCGCTTAACTCTTCTCTATTGTAAAGCTATCAAATAACCCTCTAATGTAAAAGGCATATTTGCTGCAGTGGAGTGGACTGTGGGAGTGAAAAAATAAAAATAAATAAACCTTTATTAGTTACAGCAAAATCTTGCCTCTTTGATATCATATATATAAACCTTTATTTATTATAAAGTTCAGGATGGTCCCATCAGTTGCATGTGCATGTGTTATCAATGGGAGCTAGCCCTGAGCGAATAATAGAAACAAAAACAAAAGATAGACGAAGAAAACGGTACTCCGCTATGGTGCCGTATTCACTTGAATCACATTTTAATTTGATCTCACAAGCAAGTGAGGTTTGTACAACCATGCGATATCCACTTTACAGCATAGTACCATTAGATCACGTCGATAAACAATGAGAATCATAGAGGAATGTTCACCAGCATGATTGGGGGAGACTCGTCCCTTCCTTCCCCCTAATCCTTATATAATTCTATAATAATCAGAAACAAATAAGTCGCAGCGCTTGAAACTAAAATTGGACTTCCTGTATAGTAGCTTCCGGGAAAGTGGGACATGCACCACGCATGTACGGAAGTTTTCTTTAGGGCATGACGAACGTTGATTAATCGCCGAGCCTTAGAATTTCTTTATATCAATAATGGAGAAAATAGTGTTTGTCAAAACTGACCCATCCTACCTCCTGGTAGAGAGAATGGTAAACGAATTGAGACGTAAAAATGCTCTTAGTTACCAAACAGCCCGATGCAGTGAAGTAACATCGCATGGCTTTTGTAACAAGTATGTGAGATGGTATGATTTCTCGAGAACTGCTGGGGCAGTGATGCGCCTTTACATGCTGATGGCTACCAACATGCGACATTTTCATGATCCCACGCTTGAATCGAAAGAGACCTACGTGCAGCGAGCCTTTGTAACGAATTCTCATTCCATCTGCATGGCTAACAATGTATATGAAGCAAAGCGATTAAGTGCTGAGTTCGACCGTCTTTACCCTCACTATGTCTTACAAAACAAGTTCAAAACCATGAATCAGGGCCAAACAAAAAGTCATACAGCGGTAATGTATGTATTAGATGTTCAAAATGGTACCATTTACCAAGTTATTGCTAGCCTTACAGTAACCGTGCATCCGCCAGTGCAAGGGCCTCGCATGAGAATCTTGGCCGTTCCCATGGTAAATGCTTACCGTGTTCAGTTCCAACTCCCACCACCACAATTGGCCGGTCCACATACAGAATTACTGATAAGTCTTATAGATGAATACAATCTATATATCTATGGCCAGGATAATGATGAAGACATCCCGCTTTTGCACAGAGGTGTAGATGATTTACGTGTGGAAGACGTCGAAGCACAGTAAATAATTATTTCAGGTCACTTTAGGCTATTATTCCTCTTATAATACTGATGACTTGATGTCAGCAACAGACACTCAGTAGCTCATGTCATCTAGACACATAGTTAGTATGATGCCGTTCATTGTTATTGCAAGATACAGTGGTCGCGGCATTGCGACGGACATTGAACGTGTTCTGCCGAATGAAATTTAAAAAGTGTACGGAAGTAGTATAAAAACAAATGTAAATCATGAACACATTTTTTATTAAAAAAAGTACTAGAAATTCAATTCAGAGAAAAGTGCTATATTTACTGGTTCAGTTTTATGATGGAAGAGGTAATGCAAAGTAAAACACTATGTGTAAAGCTAAGTCAAATAGTATATTATATTAGTAGTATATAATTGATACTAAAAGCTATAAAGACTGCAGTTAGAAATCACAAATATTATCTTATCTTGAGAAATATACTTCTGTATGGTGATAGCAGAGCGCCTCGCAGGCAGCAGACGTATCCAACCCTCTCTCGTTTTTTTTGGGGAATTTTATACTCTACACCGACCGAGTTGTTTTCGAACTTATATCGTACGACCCTTTAAAGTTGTCTAAAGCTGGGAATGGAAAGAATATACGCTCGTTCTTTTATTAGTGCAATTTTATCTTCAACTTCACCGACACTCTTGTCCACGAATCTTTGGCGTCGTTTGGTCGAGCTTGGAATATCGAGGAAAAGGCCCACTCATCGAGGATGCAGGGCTGGACACCAAAAATCAATACCATTTCAAAGAACAAACCAACTCACTCAGCATTTTCAATCATTATTTGATAAAACCAGCTCTGCGGACACAAATGGCGAACATGTACAGTATTTGCATAATACCTTATCGTCGACATTAAATATTCAACTTAACACCACATCAAGAAACCAACCCTACAATGCCTTTGTCTCTGGTCAGCCAACTGTACCGGACCTATTAGACGACAGTACAATGGATCACTCTCTCGAACATAATGGTGATAAAGAAAACAACATTCCTATCCGCGTTGTTTTGCCTCGAAATCCTCTTTTTTCTCCGTCTTCGTACAACCACCAGCGTCATCGCAATCACCTCGAACCTTATTGTTCCAAACTGTTCGTCCGACCAAAACTCTATGTTTGGACCAAGCCTTCTTCTCGCCAACACCATGTCCTTGGTGCCCAAGATAGACGAAGTGCGTACTGTTTTTCTAGATTTAAAACCCAACTTAGGGTTTTTTACCGAGACCTGGTTGAAAGACACTATATGTGATTCGCTCCTCTTTATACCTGGATACACTTTTATCTCTCGTAACCGCACCACGGACCATCATGGAGGTGTTGGTCTTTATATTGAGAATTCGATCAAGTTCAAGCGCCTTGACAACCTGCAAGATCCAAACTTTGAGGCCCTGTGGGCGTGGTTGCGACCCAAACGACTTCCACGTGGGGTGCCCTGCCTAATTGCGGGTGTCATATACCATCCATACTTCAATGATACTAACAGAGATGCTGCTCTTTTGGAATATTTATCTGCCTCCCTGACGACTATTGAAGGCTGGTTGCGGTTTACTTCTTTGTGGTGATTTCAATCGCCTTAATATTCGCCGCTTATCTACACAATTCCAACTAAAACAGCTTGTGGTCAAGCCCACTAGAGGAGACCAAATCTTGGATTTAGTAATTACTAATCTCCGGCAACTCTATGACAATATTTAAACGTAGTTTGTTTAATCAACCATGAATTATTTAAACTTCTTTCCAAGCTTTCGACCTAAGCGGTCATCTTCAGGGAACACAAAGACGTTAAAAAAACAAAAAGACAATAGGTCGGTCCAAACTCTCCCACCCTTCGGTCTGTCAGACCATAATGTCGTCTTGCTGCACCCATAAGCCAGGCCAACCGACAAGGGTCCTAGCAGGAAAACTGTATCCAAGCGCGACAAACGAACAAGCAGAAAGCTAGAACTTGGTCGTTTTTTCATGTCTGCCGACTGGTCCCTATGTGCCAGTGCTGATTCATGTGAGGTTAAGTTAAACCATTTTATCAATACGATCCAAACTGGAATGGAAACCATCATGCCTGTTAAGAACTGTAAGTTTCACGTTAATGATGCTCCCTGGATTACACCGGAGTTTAAGAAACTTATCAAGCTACGTCAACAAGCTTTCACCAAAGGCGACAAGGTGAGCTTTTCTCATTACCGCAACGTTGTAAACCGAGAGCGTAAAACAATTCTCAGCAAGTATTTCGCCTCGAAAATTAACGATCTCAAGTTTACCAAGCCTTCTCAATGGTGGAATACGATCAAACGAGTAGCTGGAATGGTGCCCTGTTCTAGCCCAGACAGCCTTCTCTCCAGTCTACACATGGATGCCAAACTTGATGAACTCGAAATTGCCAACATGATCAACTCTGCATTCCTTGCGCCTATGGAATCTTTCCAACCTCTGGAATCAGTTGTACCTTACGAAGAGGACCCCCACGTACTCACGTTAACTGAGCCTGAGGTCCTGGATGCTCTCACGAAACTAAACCCACGTAAAGCAGCTGGACCTGATTGCGTCCCTAACTGGCTCTTAAGAGAGTACTCAGATATTCTCGTTGAGCCCATAACATCTATACTCAACTGTAGTTTTAGGGAACAAAGAGTACCTTCGTCGTGGAAGACAAACTATGTGGTTCCAATACCCAAACAGAAACCAGTTGAAGATCTTGGTAAGCATCTCCGCCCTATTTCATTGACTCCCGCTATCTCGAAGCTCGCCGAGGACTTTGTCGTAGCGACCTATGTCGGTCCCGCAGTACTCAAGAAAATTGATCCAGATCAATTTGGTGGCATTCCAAAATCTTCCACCATGTACGCCTTGATCTCGATGCTTCACCACTGGTTACAAGCCACTGACGGTACTGGAGCAGCAATCAGGATCGTGTTATTTGATTACCGCAAGGCCTTCGATCTCATAGATCACAACATACTTGTCACTAAGATCAAAGGCCTTGATATACCGCACAG